GGAGTATGCTATGTTTTATAAATTTGAAGTGAATCTTAAAACATAAAATTACACATGTTAAGGCTATTAACTCAATTGGTGTGGGTTCGAATCCCACATAGCCTTAATAAATACTTTGTATCAATTGTTTCTTCCCAAGAAAGTACTTATAGACAAATTTGACAAGTCATTTGCATAGGCATAAATTTGCGTCTGATTAATTTGTAGATTCAATGTGAACAAAAGTAGAAAAATTAAAATATAACCAAAACTTTGTGCAAATAGTTGGAGATTACATCCCATTCTAATCTTCAATGCATTACATTTGGACTTTGTTCAGAACAAAAAACATATAATTGGTAGATAACAATGATCTGCCTTTTTTGCTTTCTCATTCACTTCAAAAGTGTTGTCAAAATAAACTTCTTGCTTCTGGATTTGAAGGTTGACTTGTTTACCCCACCTCAAGACCAAGTGATCAGCATCTGGAAATAACCTCATCGACAACGCCATTGTCATCATCATTTGCCGCTTCAAAATAAACTTCGGGCTTCCAAAGAACACAAAAAACATGTACATAACTTATAGAGCCAGAATCATAACCTCAAAAACTAAATGCATAACTTTAAATTCACATTAGTAGTAACTATCAATATAAGTAAGAAACTTTATTTGAATACAAAAAACATAAGTTAGCATCATCAACATCATCCGCTACGTCAAAGTTGTCCTCACCTATAATGTAAATTTTAAAAAGCACATTTGAACAATACATTACAAGTAGAATAAAAACTGCTACCTTTTGCTTTGGAAGTTGACTTCAAGGTTGAATATGCTGGATCAATATGTCTCCATTATCCATCCCATTTATCGTTTTAATCGGCGGGCTCATACATGTCTTCATTATATGCAAAGATCAAAAAATAAATCATGAATCATAATAAAGTCAAATAACAAACAAACTTCTAATAAAAAATTATAACTATAAACTCGAAACTTGTTACTTTTTCACCATAACATTATCATTTTAATTGGCAAGCTCAAACCTGTTTTAGGCCATAAGAAATATCATAAAGTAAATCATAGTTTGATCAAAAGACTAATAGAGCCAAAACCACAACTTCTAAAGAAAAATACATAACTCTTGGTTCACATTAGGTGAAGACCACAAGTCAATAACAAAGCTTATTAAGAAATAAAAATAGAGAATACCTAGACTACTACTAGGTATGGACCAGGAACGGGCCCGGATCCGGGTCGAGCCTTGGGCGATACTAGGTTTGGGAGTTGGAGGCCCAGTACCAGCTCGGGTAGGTTCCGGGACCGGGCCCGGGTCGGATCCATGTCAATTTTTTTAAAAAAAAAATTGTTTTTCTTATTTATTCCTACCCCACCCTCAAACCACCCAGCCCAACATGCCTACCACCCAATCCATTCAAAAAAAACACATTTTTGGGACCGGACCAGTCCCGAACCGGCCAGGCCGGTTCCAAGAGAGCCTGAGCCTGTGACCAGCCCCAAACCCCCCCTCCCCTCGGTTTAGGCCCAAGGTCCGGTCCCGGTCAACCGGTGTGGGCTGATACCGCACAGTGGCAGACCGGTTCCGGTACCAGGCCGGTCCAACCAGTCCCGGTCCATCCCTACCCTAAAGAGAACATTGTTGTTTTACAAGCTAATTTCACAACTTTAAAGTACTTATTTAGTTATTTGTCCATAAACAGTTGTTATATCACAATAAACTAATATTCGTTTAAACTGCAAAAAGAAATTACAGATAAGTTAGATATGTCGAAATCAATTAAACGATTGAAAAACACTACGCATGAAAAGTTAGAAAATTTAATCATACTCCCTCCGTCCCGCTAACAATGGGACAAGAGGGAGTGACACGCAAATTAATAAAAAGTGGTTTATGTGGTTAATATTGAATTGATACAGTAAGAATAAAGTAAGAATGCTTTAGAGTAGTGGTGGACTCGGGCCGGTTCGGGCCCGGGCCGGGCCTAGGCCCGGTCGAGCCTCCGGTTTATAATAGGTGGGCCCAGGACCGGCCCGAGGTAAGAACGGTTCCGGTGCGGGCCGAGCCACCCGCCTGGGTCACGGGCCGGGTCGGTCCGGGTAAAACAATTTTTTTACTTATTTATACTTTATAGTTTTATACAAGTATTAAAAACAAATTTCAAGTGCATTTATTTGAAATGAAATAGGAACTACGAGCCCGTTTGGTAGCACGAAAATCGGCTGATTTGGCTGATTCTGTTGAAATTTATGAAGTTCTGGCTGAAGTGGCTGCATTGGCTGATTCTGCTGATGTAAGAAAAAAATAATTTTAAAATATATTGTATTAAAAAAATAAAGAAAAAATTATATGTAAAAATAGCTAAAATGGTCATCTACAGTAACTTCAGCCAATACAGCCAGAAAAGTAACTCCAACCTTACTTTTTCTGCTTATTACACAATTCAACGCGTAAAGCAAAAATTGCGTGTTTGGTGAAAAAGTTGGTTGATAAGCCTCGAAAAACTGGGTTGCCAAACGGCCTCTACATTTGACAAACGGCCTCGAAAAACGAGCAGTATTATTAGTAGCATTATCAAAACCAATAGCAAACACCTTATCATTCAAATTATACTCAATTAAAATACGTTCAATCAAAATATAAATATGTTCAGCGGTGTGACGATCATTAAATTCACGAAAAGCAAGAACACGTTTATGCATATTCCAAACATTATCAATATAATTTGCAGTCAGACCCAAATAATGTAAATTATGATAAGTATCTTCCCATATGTCAGAACATATGGTAACACCCCCATCAAAGTTTGCAAAATAATTTTGCAACTTTACCTTTTCCACACCATAAAGCCTTACAATTTCTTTCTTAACCGTTTTGCGACTATAACGTTTATATTGAGGATTTAAACAACTTTGTGCATAATCTTTGAAAGCAAGACTTTCAGAAAACAAATAAGGCAAATTTTCTTCACCAAGTAAGTTAGCCATACCAGTTAAATTTTGTGCATCATTGTATGAGAAATTACCAAAAGGTTGTTGGTTATTTGAAAACCTCGATATTTGAGTTTGCTTCCCCGTTCCGCCGCCTAATTTTGCATACTCCACCGTGTGTTTGGCCTTAAGATGTCTTGCGGTGGATTCGTATCCGCCGGATATCCCCAAGCTATAATTTTTGTTGCACCACTTGCAAGTTGCGTTCCAATTCCCGATCTTCGAGTCCTTCCACTTATCAAAATTATTAAGCATTAGTTCAGATTTACTTTTTTCGTACCGATTTGGGTTGAGGCGGGCTCGTCGGCGTCGTGGCTGCCGCCACCCTCCTCCGCGTCCATCTCCGGAATTACTTCCTCCACATCGTCGTCCTCGAGCTCTTCTTCGTCAATGGTCCTCGAGCTCTTCTTCGTCAATGGTCCTCCAGATTTACTTGTTCTAGTTGTTCGTCGGTCATCGCATCCCCATCCCTCCTTACGTAACCTGTATCAAAATCATCTCGGCTTTGAGATGAAGAGCCGATATGTGATTTACCTTTGCATGATCTCTTCCTCGCAAGCTCGTTCGTTCGTTTGCGGTCGAGGTTACCCATATCAACCGAATATCTACCACCTTCCATCTTAAAAATGTAACAAATATTAATTTATAAAAACAATTCGAACTAATGAAATAAAATTCTAACAATTCTAACTTTAATGAAATAAAATTCTAACAATTCTAACTTTAATGAAATAAAATTCTAACTTTAATTGAGTAATGAATTAACTAGTTTTTTGTGCTAGTTATTTGAACTAATCAATAGTATTTTTTAATAAATACTTAAAACTAACAATTAACTAATTTTTTGTACTAGTTATTTTATGTACTAACAATCAAAGTATTATATAAAATGTACTAATTCGTATAAAAATGTACTAACAATTTGAACTAAGGAAAAAAAATGTACTATCAAACTAACAATTTTATAGCAAAAATTGTAATGAACTAATTAACTACCTTAATGAAAAATGTAGCAATTCGTGGGAATACTAATTAACTAATGAAGTAATGTTAATACAAAATGCAACTAATAAAATAAATGTATGAATGTGTATACTAATTAATGGGAGTAATAGAATGAATTTAACTAATATTAATATACTAATTAATATAGTTCCAATTAATTTGATATAATTCGTAGATAATAAGTATGTAAATTGCAAGTAGATAAGTAGATATGTATTAAGTAGATAATAAGTATCAAGTAGAATTGTAAATAGATAATAAGTATGTAAAATGTATTAAGTAGATGTAAATTGTAATATGTATGTGTTTAGTAGATATAAGTAGATAATAAGTACAGATTAAGTAGATAAGAAATATAAGTAATATAATATATGTATTTATAAATAGATAATTAATATATAAGTAGATAAGAAATATAAGTAATGCAATATATGTATTTATAAGTAGATAATAATATAAGTAGATATATAATATATTGGAGAATAAGAGAATTTGAGAAGATGGAGATGAAGATAATTAGAGAGTAGAGAGTAGGATTTAGGAAGAATTGGAGAAGAGATATGGAGAATGTTTAAGATTAGGAGTATTTATAGTTTTTTTTACCCCACCCCACCCCCCACCCCCCAAACTGCCCGGACCCCCCCTGCCAGCCCACCCAACAGCTATATAGCCGTTTGGGTAGTCCCAGCCCAGCCTCACGACTCTTTTGGCCTAAAACAAAAAAAAAATTGACCGTTGTGACCCGGACCCGGGCCCGACCTGGCCGGGTCACGTTTTTCCGGAACCGAGACCGCCCCCCGCTGCCCCCCCCCCCCCCCCCCCCCCCCCGGTTCGGGTCTACACCCGGTCCCGGACCGCCAAACCGGGCCAGTTCCGGGCCCGCACAGTAGCGGGCCGGGTGGCCCGAACCTAATCCACCCCTACTTTAGAGCCACACAAACTTTACCAAATTTGGTACGAGACAATCGTAGTGGGACAAACCGATAAAGTAAAATGGGACAATCATAGCGGGACGGAGGTAGTATAAGATTTCTCATAACGAGCACGTGGTGGAAGACAAAACTGATCCAATGTTAGCAACTTCCCATGTACAATACAATGAAGGCAATCCTACCTAGAAAATTTAACACAAATAGAGGCTGTGTGTTGGACCAAATGTTGTGCATCGCAGAGTATACAATGTTGTAAACTTTCATACAAGACCACGAAACCCAACGAAAACAAAAGGAATGTGCATACCCTGCACAAATCGATAGAAAGAATATATAAACACATGCATAGTAATATATTATATGTTTGTGTGTTGCCCTACCCTTCAGCTGCCTGCCTCTCATTAGGATGGCAGTTCAAGTCCAACTGCCCCTTGCTAATGCCACCATCTCCGTTTGGATAGTCATCATTCTCTGGATAACACGTATGTTGCACCAAACTGGGTCCATCATTAGAAACATCAATCTCTGGAAGAGTTTTGTCCTTCTCTTGCACAATATCTGCTTCACGTTCAGATTTTTTCTTCTTACGCAGCATGAGAGTCCTAAACCGGCGTTTGACGGTCAAGCAAACAATACATTTACAGGTGGGATCATGTTTGCCCTTCCCGCTGGGTGGTTGGATGCAAACGATGCAAGTGCAACCAGGCCGGTGCCGAGGATGCTTTGTTGTAGAAGGCTCGCTAGCCCCCAAGTCACCACCACCTCCAATGCTGTCATCTCCCAACACTGCAATACAGGCTAACGCATCTAGGCCGGCATAAGGCTCACAATCATTGCTGCTTTCCGGGACTCTCCGTCTCTTGGTTTCTCCTGGGAATAAATAGATACGAGAAGAAAGCTATGGGATCAATTGGGGGAAAATGGCCAAACTTCACTATCATCTAGCTACAGATTTATACAACAGAAGAGGGTACATGGTAGATTTGGAAGTAGACTTCCATACATCGGGGTGATTTTACTTATGGGGGGGACTGGGGAGGGGGCATTTCATTTACTTAGTTTAGAAGTTTTTATTTCATTTCTCATGTAAAACAGTCATCTCATGTAATACTAAAACCTTTTTATTGAAGACAAGAACAAGGGATAATGACAAAAACATCATGATATTACGAGAAGTTGAGATCATATATATGTAATTCATACCATTGTTGCAAGCTCTAAGGAATGAATCAAGTTGTTTTTGATTCATCTCACTTGGGGCAGAACACGAACATCTGGAAGCAAATGTCCACACAGTGAGTCAAAGTAGCAGACAACTTTTGCGTTCTTATTCTCTTAAAGTTTTATTGCAAGTTTGTAACTAAACATATATCATAGTTATTTTGTAGCATAAGATTAATAAATAAGATAAGTTAGTACTCCATATAGGCATATATAAAAGTCAATCCTGCCATCCCCTCCCTTCTGAAAAGTCCCCCATCCAAACAAGACCCAAGACCAAAACATTTCACTGAAAAATGGAAAATGAAATATGTGGTCCCACATTTTTCATTTAGTTGACAAAAGTGATTCCTCGTATATCCACACCAATCCTTCCATCCATTTGATACTACTACATATCAAAAATTACCAATAAGATGCATATAAAAATGCCTCAACCTCTTCGCTATATTAAAGATATTAGGTGGGAAGGTATGAACCTATTTGAGTCCCAAGTATTGTCTGAACAAGTCCAGTTTGCTGGAAGGAAAACATGTGTAGGCAGCCTACGCCATTTGGAGCAACTATCACATTGGGCCCACTGTTCCTGCTCCCTACATAAGATACTTCTCTGCCGAAATTATAAGGTGTATTCCCCCTCAAAAAGAGGGGGCAAGTTAAGGAACATACATCGCAAGCAGTGAAACTGGCTGAAACTAATTCATTCTTTATATACATTAACTTTCCGACAGGAACGCTATTAAGAGGACAATGATTAGAATGTGTATATATGTTTCCAATCTAATCATCTAAAAGTGTGTTTTGTATAGAGACTAAGAAATCTAAACTCTAAAGATACGATTTTTTTTAAAATTAAGAACGGTTGAAATATAAACTACTCCCTCCGTCCCGTTGGAATGTTCCTGTTCACTATTCATTGGTCAACTTAGGTCACTCCTAATCTTTTACTTTATATATCAAATTTTTATCAAATTGAACTTTTCTTGATCAGACTTTGTAGCGGTTTTAATGTAGTTTCTGAATATGTAAATTTTATTTACTAAAAATAAGCGGAGTGTGAACAGGGATCGAGTTGCTTTATGGTCAGTCAAGCATCGTAAACCGAACGGGAACATTCCAACGGGACGGAGGGAGTAGAATAATATTGAAAAGTGGAGGAAAGATTTTCTGTATTTCATTAGTTGTGGAAGTCCCTATAAATATACATTACAAATAGAATATACCTATATAAGATTCTATACAATAATAATATCTATGGTATATTCCTAATATATTCTAAAGCATATTTTAAAGTATATTCTAATATACTTTCACACTCCCCCTCAAGTTGGAGCATAGATACTTATCATGCCCAACTTGTTACATAAATAAACAACTCGAATTCCATTTAGTGCTTTAGTGAAGAATTCCCCAATCTTGACATATCCTGTAGAGATCAATCCTTTTTGTATCTTCTCTCGAATAAAATGACAATCGACCTCAATATGTTTTGTTCTCTCATGAAACACTGGGTTGATGGCAATATGTATAGCAGCTTGGTTATCACACCACAGTTTAGCAGGCATTGGTGTCTTCAATCCAATTTCACTCAATAAATGATTTATCCAGATTATCTCACATGCTGATTGTGCCATAGCACGATATTCTGATTCGGCACTAGATCGAGAAACCACATTCTGCTTCTTACTTTTCCAGGAGACAAGATTTACCACCAACAAAGACGCAATAGCCAGATGTAGATCTTCTATCATCTTTAGATCCAGCCCATTCAGCATCTGCAAAGCATTCTATTCTCATGTGATCATGATTTTGATAAACAATACCTTATCCTGGTGTCCCCTTCAAGTAACATAATATATGTTCGACAGCGTTCCAGTGATCAACTGTGGGAGATGACATATACTGACTCACTGAGTATGCAATATCTGGACGGGTAACTGCGAGATAATTAAGTTTTCCAACCAATCTTCTCTATCTCTCTGGATCTTCGAACGACACACCTTCGTGAGTGAGTTGTACATTAGGAATCATAGGAGTATTGCTCGGCTTTGCCCCTAATTTCCCTGTTTCAGCTAGCAAGTCAAGTACATATTTGCGTTGAGATAGAAATATGCCTTTCTTGTTCCGTGTTACCTCAATACCCAAAAAGTATTTCAATGAGCCTAGATCTTTCGTTTGGAATTGGCTATGAAGAAAATTCTTAAGAGCCAAAATACCTGCAATATCACTCCCTGTAATCACAATATCATCGACATACACCATGTTGAAATATAAACTAGAATAACATTAAAGATGAAGAGAAGGATTTTCTGTGTATTTCATTAGAGGGTTAAGGCCCTATATATATATATATTACAAAGATGGAATATTCCTATATAAGATGCTATACAATAATAATGTCTAGAGTATATTCCTAAAGCATATTCTAGAGCATATTCCTAAAGCATATTCCTAGATACAATAATACTTTCACACTCCCCCTCAAGTTGGAGCATAGATATTTATCATGCCCAACTTGTTACATAAGTAATCAACTCGAATCCCATTTAGAGCTTTAGTGAATAAATCTCCAAGTTGTTCTCCAGTCTTCACATACCCGGTAGAGATTAATCCTTTTTGTATCTTCTCTCGAATAAAATGGCAATCAACCTCAATATGCTTTGTTCTCTCGTGAAATACGGGGTTGTTTGCTATGTGTATAGCAGCTTGGTTATCGCACAACAACTGAGCAGGCATTGGTGTCTTCAATCCAATTTCATTCAATAAATGGTGTATCCATATTATCTCACATGCGGATTGTGCCATAGCTCGATATTCTGATTCAGCACCATACTTGTCACGGCGGTAAGTCGAGTCGCGGCGCCGGCCAACTGCCATATCGCCTAGGCGATTAGGCGCCCGCCTAGGCGACAATTAGGCGACTAGTCGCCTATATATTTATATATATATATATAATTATGTATATAATTATATATATAATCATACATATAATTAAACTATGCAAAATATATATCATACGTAGTATATATTAGTATGTACCAGTTTTTATGATTATTTTAACAGTTTATTATTTTATAATTTAGAACATATAATAAAATAGAAGTCTCACAGGTTGGGTATATCATTATATCATATTATATCTTGATTCTGTAATATAGAAGTGTATATATACACATATATTGATAGATAGATGAAAATACACCCTTTATATATATAAATACACAACTTAATTAATTAAAATAATAAAAAAATGAAGCCAAGAAGAAGAGATCGGGGACTGGGAACTAGGGAGTCGCCTGCTACTCTGTTTCCGCGAGCGAGGGACAAGGAGGGCCATACCTGCGACTTTGTCTTCTTCGTGGAGTTGTTCGTCTGCTTCCTACGACTCTACGAGGCTGCGACTTGGCTTGGCTATACGACTTTGGGCAACGAATCGTCGGTAAGGAAGATTACTATGGGCTTGCTTTTAATTAAAGCCTAAATCCATTTTTATTTTGTGTTCTGGGCCTGCGCCATAGCAGTCCGACTTTCCAAAAAGGCGAGGACTTCGACGCCAAAACAGCGCCTAGACGACGCCTAGACGACGCAATTCACGACTACTCTTCATCTGGCGAGGCGAGTGAAGCTGGTGAGCAGTCCCTAGCGCCAGGACGCCTAGTCGGCGACTAGGCGACGCCTAGGCGACGCCGTGACAAGCATGTTCAGCACTAGAACGAGAAACCACATTCTGTTTCTTACTCTTCCAGGATACAAGATTACCACCAACAAAGACACAATAGCCAGATGTAGATCTTCGATCATCTTTAGAACCGGCCCAATCAGCATCTGCAAAGCATTCTATTCTCATGTGATCATGGTTTTGATAAACAATACCTCGTCCTGGTGCTCCCTTTAAGTAACATAATATGTGTTCTACAGCAGCCCAATGATCAATGGTCGGAGATGACATGTATTGACTCACTACACTCACAGAATAAGCAATATCTGGACGGGTGACTGCGAGATAATTAAGCTTTCCAACCAGTCTTCTATATCTTTCTGGGTCTTCAAACGGTGTGCCTTCTTGAGTGAGTTGCACGTTGGGAACCATGGGTGTTGTACTTGGTTTTGCCCCTAATTTCCCTGTCTCAGCTAGTAAGTCAAGTACATATTTACGTTGAGATAGAAATATGTCATTCTTACTTCGTGTTACCTCAATTCCCAGAAAGTATTTCAAAGAGCCAAGATCTTTCGTCTGGAATTGACTATGCAGAAAATTCTTAAGGGCCAAAATACATGCATTATCACTCCCTGTAATCACAATACCATCAACATATACCACAAGCAATGTGACACCTGATTCTGTTTGTTTGTAAAATACAGAGTGGTCTGATTTGCCTTTTATCATTCCAAATTGTTCAATTGATTGACTGAATTTCCCAAACCATGCACGAGGACTCTGTTTCAGACCATAAAGAGATTTGCGAAGTCGACAAACTTTACCATACTCCCCCTTAGCAACAAATCCTGGAGGTTGCTCAATATAGACTTCATCCTTAAGGTCACCATGCAAAAATGCATTTTTAATGTCCAATTGATGTAAGTGCCAATCATGAATTGCAGCGAGTGGGATAAGTAACCTGACAGATGTTAATTTAGCAACAGGAGAAAAAGTGTCAGAATAATCAACACCATAGGTTTGAGCATAACCCTTCGCAACTAATCGGGCTTTCAACCGAGCAACGGATCCGTCTGGGTTAACCTTAACAGCAAAGACCCACTTACATCCAATAGATTTCTTCCCTGTAGGTAAGTCAACCAGATCCCATGTACCATTAAGATCTAAAGTATTCATTTCCTCTACCATGGCTTGACGCCATTCAAGATGAGACAGAGCTTCTTTGACAGATTTGGGAACAGAAATAGAATCAATGGAAGCAATAAAAGAACATGAAGCAGGAGATAACTGATTGTACGACACAAATGAAGAAATAGGATGAGTACAAGACCGTGTACCTTTACGTACTGCTATTGGGAGATCAAGATCTGATGTGGAAACAAGATCTGAAGATGCAGATACTGGTTCAGGACATGAGATCGGAGTCGAACTAGTATCAAGAAAAGTAATCACAGGTATCGCCGGTGGAGGGTGATCAGGTGCTTTGTGTCGACGGGTGTATACCAAATGTACGGGAGGCCTAGGGTCATGAACAGTAACTTGTGGAATATTTGTCGAAAGTGTGGACTCGGGAATAGTCATCCTGTAAATGAGAATATCATCATTACTCTCACAAATATCTGCCTTAGATGATGAAAAAGGTGTATTTTCATGAAATGATACATCAATAGAAACAAGATACCGACCAGTACTCGGACAAAAACATCTATACCCCTTTTGGACTCGAGAATAACCCAAGAAAATACATTTTAATGATTTCGGATCTAACTTTGTTAGATGAGGATTAACATCTCTAACAAAACAAGTGCAACCAAATATTTTAGGTGGGATAGGAAAAAGCTCTCTGTTTGGAAATAGACAATGATAAGGAGCTTTACCATTCAAAACAGAAGATGGCATTCGATTTATCAAAAAACATGCAGTAGACACGGCATCTGCCCAAAACTGTTTAGGCACATTCATTTGGAATAGAAGAGCCCTTGCAGTTTCTAACAGATGTCGGTTCTTTCGTTCCGCAACTCCATTTTGAGGAGGTGTATCAACGCATGAAGTTTGATGAATAATGCCATGTTGAAGCATAAATGACTTAAATGTAGCAGATAGATATTCTTGGGCATTGTCTCCTCTTAACACCCGAACAGGAACGTTAAACTAAGTTTTAATTTCAGCACAAAAGGAAGAAAAATGAGTGAACAACTCAGATCGACGTTTCATGAAATACAACCATGTCATACGAGAATAGTCGTCAACAAAGGTAACAAAATATTTAAAACCAGCTTTAGACACAACCGGGCAAGCACCCCAAACATCAGAGTGAACAAGGTCAAATGGAGCATTTGCTCGTTTATTAACTCGCGGGCCTAAGCTAGTTGACATGACTCACATTGTAAAGAGGTCGTCTTATTAAATTGGGGATTTATTTGTTTCATTAATGGGAGAGATGGATGTCCTAATCGGTAATGAGCATCTAACAAAGTCCCAACCCCAAGACAAGAGATACCTTTGGTGATGGATGTATCCAAAATATATAGACCAGCTGACTCATGTCCTTTACCAATAATCTGCATCGTTAACAGATCCTGAAACACACAATATCCCGGAAAAAATGTTACAGAACAGTTAAGAGTACGAGTACGAGTGATTTTACTGATGCAAAGCATATTAAATGCAAAATTAGGAAGACTCAAAACAGGCGATAATGGTAATGTAGAAGTTGGAACAACAGTACCAGATCCAAGAACGGGTGAGGTAGATCCATCAGCTAAAGTGACACTAGAAGTAGGTAAATATGAATGAAATGACGAGAATAGACTAGGATTACCGGTCATATGATCTGTGGCACCTGAGTCAATGACCCATTTCGAGGATGAGGAAACAAGACACGTGTTTGAAATACCTGAATTAGCGGTTACCGAGATAGGGACAGAGGAATGCTTTAGAGTTTCTTGGTAGCAAATAAATTTGGCATACTCGTCTGAAGAAATAGCAATTGATCCATCGGATGAACTGGTAGCGGAAGCAACATGAGCAAGCTGATTTCCTTGATTTTTGAACAGCAATTTTCTACATTCTTTGATCAAGTGTCCGGGCTTCTTACAGTAATTGCATATTGCTCCTCTGTCAAATCCACTCGTACAAGACATTTTTTTTTGGAAGGGGGTTAAAAATAAAATAACATAAAACACTTGAAATATTCAGTGAAAACTGGACTCACCGCAGCTTTCCCGTTTGTGGATTTAAAAGCTGGTGAATAAAATACTCTGTGTCTAATTTGCTTGGCCTGACTGCTACGGAGTCCAGCAGATATGCAAAGAATCAGTGAAGAAGCCTGTGATCGTTCACAAATATCCCATGCGATACCCCAGCAGATGCGAACAACCAGAGGAAGCAGCAGAAGTCTGATGCTAGACCCCAGCGACCAACCAGGCAACCACAGATACCCGTCCCTTGAGAGAGAAGTAAAGTATACCTGGTAGAGGATTTTCAAGCGAGTCTCAGGCGAAGAGTTCCGATCAAATCTCCGGCCAGAAACACGGCGTCACGCGCCGGAGCGTGCGTTGGCTGCGGAAGCTTCCGACGGCGCGTGTAACTCACGCGCGATGATTTGGGCGTGCGGACTTCGGATGTTCGGTCGACAGGGGCAGGCGAACCAGAGGATGAGGGGGGTGAGGTATGTTTTGGGCAAAGGTTCTGAGGGTTATATTTCGGCTGATGGTGTGTGAAAGGATGTTCTGAAAGAAGCAAAAATAAAATAAATGGAAACTAAACTGAAATGGAGAAGGGTTGATGGGTACCCAATTGTTTCTTATATCTGAGGTTCTGGTTCTGGGAAAAGGTTCTGGGATGAGCTGAGAAAAGGTTCTGGGAAGAATAAGAGGTTCTGGGAAGATCAGAGGTTCTTGAAGATTGGTAAACAGAAAAACTAAACTGAAATAGAAGGCTCTGATACCATGTTGAAATATAAACTAGAATAACATTGAAGATGAAGAGAAGGATTTTCTGTGTATTTCATTAGAGGGTTAAGGCCCTATATATATATATTACAAAGATGGAATATTCCTATATAAGATGCTATACTATAATAATGTCTAGAGTATATTCCTAAAGCATATTCTAGAGCATATTCCTAGATACAATAATACTTTCACACACCACAAGCAACGTGATACCTGCTTTCGTTCGTCTGTAGAAGGCAGAGTGGTCTGATTGACCTTTTACCATGCCAAATCGTTCAATTGATTGACTGAACTTTCCAAATCATGCACGGGGACTTTGTTTCAAACCATAAAGGGACTTGCGATGTCGACAAACATTCCCATACTACCCCTGAGCAACAAATCCCGAAGGTTGCTCAATATAAACTTCTTCCTGAAGGTCACCATGCAAGAATGCATTTTTAATGTCCAACTGATGTAAGTGCCAATCATGAGTTGCAGCGAGAGAAATAAGTAACCTGACAGATGTTAATTTAGCAACAGGAGAAAAAGTGTCAGAATAATCAACACCATAGGTTTGAGCATAACCCTTCGCAACTAATCGAGCTTTCAACCGAGCAACAGATCCGTCTGGGTTAACCTTAACAGCAAAGACCCACTTACATCCGATAGATTTCTTCCCTGTAGGCAAGTCAACCAAATCCCAAGTACCATTAAAATCTAAAGCATTCATTTCCTCTACCATGGCATGACGCCATTCAGGATAAGATAAAGCTTCTTTAACAGATTTGGGAATAGAGACAGAATCAATGGAAGCAATAAAAGAACATGAGGCAGGAGATAACTGGCTATACGACACAAATGAAGAAATGGGATGAGTACAAGATCGTGTACCTTTACGTAGAGCTATCGGAAGGTCAAGATCTAATGTAGAGACAAGATCTGAAGATGCATGTATCGGTTCGGGACATGAGATCAAGGACGGACCGATATGAGGATAAGTAATCACAGGTGTTACAGGCGGAGGGTGATCTGGTGCTCTGTTTCGATGGGTGTAAACCAAATGTACTGGAGGTCTGGGGTCGGGAACAGTAACATGCGGAATAGCTACAGAAGGTGTAGATTCCGATATAGTGACAGAGTAAATGAGTATTTCATCATTGTCCCCATGAATATCTGTCTTCGATGATGAAAAGGGTGTATTTTAATGAAATGATCCATCAATGGAAACAAGATATCGACCTGTACTTGGACAAAAACATCTATACCCCTTCTGAAGTCGAGAATAACCCAAGAAAATACATTTTAATGATTTGGGGTCTAACTTTGTAAGATGAGGATTAACGTCTCTAACAAAGCAAGTGCAACCAAATGTTTTAGGTGGGATAGGAAAAAGCTCTTTATTCGGAAATAAGCAGTGATAAGGAGCTTTACCGTTTAAAACAGAAGATGGCATACGGTTTATCAACAAACATGCGGTAGACACGGCATCCGCCCAAAACTGTTTAGGCACATTCATTTGGACGCATTTTCTAACAGATGTCGATTCTTTCTTTCAGCGACTCCATTTTGAGGAGGTGTGTCTACGCATGAAGTTTGATGATTAATGCCATTTTGAAGCATAAAAGATTTAAATGGAGCAGAGAGATAATCTTGGGCATTGTCTCCCCTCAACACACGAACAGGAACATTAAATTGAGTTTTAATTTCAGCACAAAATGCAGAAAAATGTGTAAATAACTCTGATCGACGTTTCATAAAATATATCCATGTCATATGAGAATAATCGTCAACAAATGTAACAAAATATTTGAAACCAGATTTGGACACAACAGGACATGCCCCCCAAACATCAGTATGAAGAAGATCAAACGGAGCGTTTGCTCGTTTATTAAGTCGAGGACTTAAACTAGTACGATGATGTTTTGCAAACTCACACGACTCACATTGTATAGATGACACTTTATTAAACTAAGGATATATTTGCTTCATTAGTGGGAGAGATGGATGTCCTAATCGGTAATGAGCTTCTAACAGACTTCCAACCCCAAGACAAGAGATGCCTTTTGTGATTGATGTATCCAAAATATAAAGACCAGCTGACTCATGTCCTTTACCAATAGTCTGCTTCGTTAACAGATCCTCAAACACACAATATCCAGGAAAAAATGTTACAGAACAATTCAGAGTACGTGTGATTTTACTGATGGAAAGCATATTAAATGCAAAATTAGGAAGACTCAAAACAGACGATAATGGTAATGTAGAAATTGGTACAATAGTACCAGATCCAAGAAGGGTGAGATAGACCCGTCGGCTAAAGTGACACTAGAAGTAGGTAAATATGAGTGAAATGATGAGAATAGACTAGGATTACCGGTCATATGATCTGTGGCACATGAGTCAATGACCCATTTCGAGGATGATGAAACAAGACATGTGTTTGAAATACCTGAATTTGCGACTACCAAGATAGGGACAGAGGAATGCTTTAGAGATTCTTGATAGCAAATAAATTTAGCATACTCGTCTGAAGAAATAGCAATTGATCCATCAGATGAAATGGTAGCGGAAGCAACATGAGCAAGCCGATTTCCTTGATTTTTGAACAGCAATTTTCTGCATTCTTTGATCAAGTGTCCGGGCTTCTTACAGTAATTGCATATTACTCCTCTGTCAAATTTATCCGTACAAGACATATTTCTATTTTTTTCTTTTTCTTTTTCTTTTTGTTTTTTTTTTTGTTTTTTTAGGTTAAAAGTAAAATAAAATTAAATAAAACTTGAAATATTAAGTGAATACTGGACTCACCGCAGCTTTCTCGTTTGTGGATTTAAAATTGGAGAATAAAATATCCAGCTTGGGCTTTTGACTGGTGGGCCCTGAACTTATCACCAAAGTAGATGTGTAGACCCGATGCACATGCGAGATCCCAGATTGCACATGCGACAGAACAATAGTGAAGCAGCGGATGGGATAGAGGCGAAAGAACGAAGGGCCTCTTCTCGCTCAACCAGCGATGCCAAGCGAGCCTCTTCTTATGCGAGACCCAGCGATCGACCAACCACCGGACCTCCTCTCACAGCTATCTTCCCTTTCTAGAGAAAGAACGAAAGAGAAGTGAAGTATACCTGGGGTAGAAGCGATGGCAGCGCACCAGAATAGAGGCAAGAATTGGAGCTGTGTACTTTCAACACCTGGTCGGAAACGGTAGGAATGGTGTAGTCGGAATTTCGCAGGAAAAATGGTCGGACCTGGCAGAGATGGAGGTAGTTTGCTTGATACCAATATTCTGAATTTGCTTGAACTCAGGTTCTCAATAGAGGGTCTGGTTAATGGTAATGGTGTGTAGAGAGGTTCTGTCCTGGATTGAGTTTCTTGGAGAAAGAATGGTGCACAGATGTTCTGAACTGAGTTGCAAACTGAATTGAAATCTTAAAAAGTAAACTGAAACTAAACTGAAATAGATTTCTCTGCCAGAGGTTCTGAAGGTTCTGAAGAGTCTGGACTAAAATCAATTTCTTGGAGAAAGAACACAGTCTGAAAACTAAATTGAGATATGACAAACTAAACTGAAATCTGAAAAGAAAAACTTAACTGAAATGGAAGGCTCTGATACCATGTTGAAATATAAACTAGAATAATATTGAAAAGTAGAGGAAAGATTTTCTGTATTTCATTAGTTGTGGAAGTCCCTAAAAATATACATTACAAACAAAATATACCTATATAAGATTCTATACAATAATAATATCTATGGTATATTCCTAATATATTCTAAAGCATATTCTAAAGTATATTCCAATATACTTTCACAAGAACAATAATCATATTTCATTTTCCTTTGCATTTTGTAGGTAAAAAAGAAACACAAGAAAATAAATTTTCTTAGCATCCCCCCCCCCCCCCCCCCCCCCGCTCTCTAAATAAGAGGGCAGAAGTAAGATGGCAAAATGGCTAAAAGGGGCTAAAACTCCGAATTAGACTTTTCATCTGAGTCTAGAGAGATGGCATTTATCATATATTACAATATATTTGCATCATAGCTTTCCTTATCCAGATGATGGAGTGCTGAAGACTGTGCTCTTTCCAAAAACGGGTGGTTCCTAGATTGCGGGAATATTTTGTTCTTCCAATTAGTGCCATATGAGGGTATCAAGAAGAAAAAGAATACGCAGTTAGTTGAGCCCGAAATATAAGAGACTTACATCATATTCTTCAAATTCGCAGTCCTCAATCACAACTATGGTTGGATTAACATTTGGAGGTGGGCGGAGCAAATCCCGAGCTTCTTCCCAAGTCATCTTCAGCTTTGTAGCATCTTCATTGTGTAGCAAGAGCCTCTTATTTTTGCACCCTATTTTCTTAACTTTCTTTTCGGGAACGAGCACATTTATTTGCAAGGAATCATCGGTTTCTTTTCCTCCATTCTTCTCAGGTTTTGGAAATCAAGAAGCATCTCGTTAGAAAACTATTTTTTTGAAAGAAAAAGATATTCCCTTGGTCCCGTTTTAAGTGTCTTACCGATGTAATGATGATAGTATAGAATTATGTTTGTTTATGTGTATAATTTTAACTAGTTTTATTTGTTGTTGTTTGGGAGATTACACACTTTAGGTGTAATACTTTATTTTTCGTATTTGTTTGTAATTTGTTTAGATTAGGGATTTTCCTAAGCTTAAACTAGGTAAAGATCATCAAAAGGATCCTGGAAAGGTCAAGGAAAGTGCAAGGGAACAAGAAAAAGTGAAAATTTGGGGAAAAAATCAAAAACCCGGTCGGGTAAAACAAAAACCCGATCGGGTTTGACTTGACCCGAAGATCAAATATGATTTGGAGGCAATTAAACGTGCAGGGCGAAGATTTGGCAAAGATTTGTCTTTTACCCGATCGGGTAAATCAAAAACCCGATCGGGTAAATGTGAATAATGAAGATTCCGGGCAATTACTCAGAAAACCCGATCGGGTTTCTGAAAAACCCGGTCGAGTAAATGACCCTGCCACCTCCAAACACCTATAAATACACCCCTTTTCCTTCCCAGTTGATCACCAATTTACATGTACTCTAAACTCAGTTTAGTTAAGTGTTTTCTTTATATTTTCTGGTATGTTTAGTCTCCAAATGAGGAGCTAAACTCTTCCATCTTGGTTTTGCTACGTTGAAGCTTGATGAATTGTAAGTTGTGAGTTATTTTCTTTAATCTTCTTCCTTGAATATTAATTAATCTATCTCTATATAAATATCGGGGAGTGTTGCTAAGATGACAATTAGATAATATCTCGACATTAATTATAGTAGCATTTATTTTATTTAATAATCTTCCTTGAATATTAATTAATTCCTATTCATATTTTATATTAATATTTTGAGCATTACTTAAAGGATCAACTAGTTTTGTTTCATATATTAATTATTACTAGAATCGATCGACGAATACGCTTGTTAATCGTTCGGTCCTTTCACGGTAGTAAACTTGGATTATTAATGCATGCGTCTCATGGTTAATAATCTAAGGGGAATTAATTATACTGATTAAATCAATAAACCGCTTGTGTTGAGGTTATCAATCTCAATCGTTTTAATCTTAAGTTTATTGCTATTATCGGGCTAATATACGGCGCGTGTTCTATGACTCGGTGGTAAGTTTTATTAATGAACGCGTCTCGTTATTAATAACTACCTTCGATGAATTGGATATACTCCTCGATTGAGTATTCGAGAGGAAGATAGTTAAAGATATAATCGGGATCGACGGACATTTCATTAAGTGGATATAAGCAAAGCCAAGTCTTCATCTCAATTAAGTAAAACACATAAGTCGTTCATCTTAGTGTTTAAAACTTTAAATACATTTAAAGTTCATCAATCAATCAAAACCCCCCTTTGTTACTAGTTACGTAAAAGAAAAGTATTCTTTTCTCTGTGGATACAAACCATACTACACTATACTACGTATAAGTGTTGTATTGTATTTATTTATTTTGAGTGCACACCACGACAAAGTGCACGTCAAATGAGATATTAAATTTTTCAAGTTTTATCTTAAAATCTTAACTTGTGAGGAGTACCAGAGTACCAGTGTAATGGCTTGTATCTTTATAGTTGGTTCTTCTGAGATAACGTAACATTCCACGTAAGATGGTGGCTCATTGGAGAAACTAATATTAAACATTAGTCCTTAATCCTTATAGGGGCAGTAGCACAAGGCCCTTTATGCTATGCTAGTTAGTATATTTATATTGAGCCAGTGTTGGATGGCTTAAAATGAGTCATGATTAATATTATTTAAGTGAAAATTTTATAAAATTGTATGAAATATAAGCAAAAAAAATTACGTGTGAAAAAACTTCCTCCAAAGCTGTAAAGCAAGTAGTGACATGACTATTCAATTAGGAGAATATCGAAGCAAACAAGCCAAAAAAAGAAGCAGTTACTTAGATGCCCATGGTACAAATGGAGTTATGAAGGAAACGGTGACTGGTAGAAGATGACATACTGTGGTACAGTTTTCAGTGGGAGCAGAATCTGGACATTCAGGAGAACATTCACCATTGGCAATGGTTGCATTTTGAGAATCCTGTTTGTAATGCATAAAAAACCATTGTAATAGACTAATAGGAATAGGATTCTATAAAGAAAATTTTGAGACTGATCGTAAGTTTGATCTGAAGACTGACCTGCGTTTCAGCATAATTTACTGCCTTCCGGAAGCCCATAAATAGTTTCCTGCCAGGATCTATTCTACTGAAAGTAACTGTTGCAATAATGCAGAGTAACATGTAGACTTTGGAAAACAAACATATAATAACAACAGCAGGTAAACAAACATATATGTTCAAAGAGTTTTGGTTCTTAAATGACAGTGGTACTCCACAATCTACACCCATCTTCAGTATTTAGCAAATTAATAATTTACTATCTCCATCCCTAAATAATCTTTACTCGCTCCTTTCAGTCCATCTCAAATTTATAGCTCATCCTTGTAAGGAAAGCAATATATGGTTCATATAATTTCTCTCTTTTCTAAACAAATCTCAACCATGTAGCTTTCGTTTTCTTAAACTATGTGTTCAGCCAAAGTGAGACTTTATTTAGGGATGAAGCTAGCATTAATTTTCACAGTAGGCTGATAAAGAATTTATAGGCATCTATGGGTACACCGTACACGGTACACACGTCCACTTCTAGTTTTTTTAGACTAAAAACGCTCATAAAATAGAAGGTAAAAGCAATATAATGGAAGTGGCCTCCGCCTGAATTCACTACCTTATGGATTAATTAGGGATGCCACTCACATGATCTCCATCACAATAGACCAGATAATAAGAGATCATAGAGAAATCAAGAATAACCACTCATATGGTTGAATAAAAAACTACTCCATCCTTCCCGTTAAGATTGTCCCATCTTTCCTTTTCGGTCCGTCACACTAAGATTGTCTCATAGTAAATTTGGTAAATTTTGTGTCGTTATAATCATTTTTACTTTATTCTTACTTTGTCAACTCAATATGAACCACATAAACCTACTTTTCTTAATAACCATACGACCTCCTCATGTCCCAATGTTAGTGGGACGGAGGTAGTACTAGTTTTACTGATATGGCTTTGAACTTGCAAGTTATTAATTTCTAGAGACTATTGTAATGCTTATAGAAAATTAATGCACCCAAACACGGTAGGAAAATGAGACCTAAACCCAGTAGGAATATGAAGTTTAAACCTTAAACCTATTTGGAATAAGAAACTTTAATATTACTACTAAAAGTCTAAAACTATGAAAATGATATTACTTTCCTAAAAAAATGATATTACTATTTCTGTCTTTTAACAAGTACATCCATGGTAAGTAGCAAATTGTTCATGCTTTCTGTCTACTGAATAAAGGACAACCCGGTGCACAAAGGCATCCCAGCAAGGCGAGGGTCCGGGGAAGGGTCCCACCACAAGGGTTTATATGGGACAAGCCTTCCCCTGTTAAATTTTTGACAAGAAGCCACTCCACAGACTTGAACCTGTGACATCTCGATCACATAGCATTTAGCAACAACGCAACACCTTAACCGGTGCGCCAAGGCCCCCTTTCGCTTTCTCTCTATTGAATAAGATGTAAAAAAAATATGAAGAGAAAGCACTCAGAGTAAATAGCATTAACAACTCTGTAAGATGATACCTGTGTCACCAGCTTGTAATTGCATATTCTGTATACAGGGTGTAACGCCCTCCAGAACATACATCCTACTGTTGTTATTGGGCCAAAATCTGAACTGAAATACCCACTCTTTCCCTTTTACGTCCTGCACCCTTATGGGTATTCCTTCGTACTGGGTGATATATGGAAAATATGCCTGCATAAACAGAGTACATTAACGTCCTTCCTTCCACGCAGTGAAGGACACCATAATAGACACTAAAATAAAAAAACATACTTCAGCACATGCTTTGGGGATGACCAAACGACCAATCCGACCAGCATCACTGGCACTCAAAACCTTTTCGAACAAAGGCACTATAGTGGATTTCAAGCTTAAAGTGAAAAGGTAAAGGTATAACAAAGCGAACTGCTTAAATGGAAGACGAACTTAATCCAAGACTGATTAGCGGTGGAATCAGGGCAGGATGGGTCAGTTTTTTGTTGGGACTAGATACAGGATTATATTATTGTGGGACTGAAAGTAGGCTAGCTGGTCTGGATTTTTTTCATTTTAAAATCTGGTCGGGTTCGGGACAAATACTACCCCTAGACTGCCCAGAAAAACAATTAAACTGATTTACTTGAAATTTCGGTTCAGTACAGGTCGGTTTGTGTCTTTTAGTCAGGTAATCCCACCCATCGACAAAAACAACAACATCCATGCCTTAATCTTAAGAGATTTTGGGGTTGGCTAGCATGAATTGATACATGATAATTAATACAGAATGGATGGATACTCTCCAGATAGTTTCTGCAATTCTTGGTCTGTAATCCTGGGCCAATATCTAGGCAGGAATTGATTCCTACTGCTCCTCCCTTCAGATGATGGCCTTGCAACATGTGTCAGTGTAGATATTTCACATTTTGATTCAAACCCCGAACTTGAGCTAGCTTTGAGTGCCTTTGGAAAGATATTGTGTGATGTCTGCCCTTGTTGGAATGGAGAAACCCCAGAAGAAAAAGGTAGTACAGAGCCTGAATTGCCCATGGGAGTGGTCAAAAAGAAATTTAGAGATAGCTGATCCTTAAGAGTCGTATTCGGTATGCAACTTTCTGCCTTTTCAAGTAAAGAAGTTTTGGGAGATTCCTGGTTAAGATTTGAAAAGCACAACCTGCTGACATCCATGGCAGGAATTATTGATTCCTCTTGTTTAATTTTGTCATTTTCAGATGCCTCTGTACTGTTTCTAAATTGCAGAAGCCTTCCGTTTTCAAAAATGGTTTGATCTGTTCTATTTTCAACAAGAAGAGTATGTGTATCTGCACTGTTCTTCACGGCGAATATACCACTAGGAGGATCCTCATTGGGTATCTGTACAAACAGTTCTCATATGATCAATTCAAAAAAAGGAATGCTGCTTATATGTAAAATCTAGTTCTTAGATGGCATGTGTTAAGGTACGACTCTAAGCACAGTTTTATGTCTCATGTTGAGTTGTTGTCATGCAACTTTATGAATGAAAAAAAGCTCGCAGCTAGCTTTTTCTTTGATTCCATAGTTCCATTAACGCAACATGAGACATAAAACCCAATTTTTATAACTCATTTCTTAGGAAATTTTTATCTTGTCAGTTGCTATCCTCTTTATGACGATAAAGCAATTTCCAATGGAGCCAAAAAACTAACTATTTTTGGCTTGGGAATATGATGGAATAAAACAAAATGACTGTCTGCGCTTCTTTGTTATGAAGCGGCAGTCAGTCCATGCAATTTTCGACCCCCCCTTTACACCACCATAGGTGGGAGCTTTTGCGGGACTAGGGTAATGTTGTTGTTGACTTGTTGTAGTTGGCAAGTTGCTATCCTCTTTATGCTTTCCAGCACACTATATTTAGCTACATTGTGGATAAAAATGGGATACCTATGTGGCATGATACAAAACCTGTTTGGAGAAGAAAAAATCACCATCATCATCATTACCCCAGTGCAGCAAAGGCTCCCACCTACGGTGGGTTAGGGGGGTTGGATGTATGTAGCCTTACCCATGTACTAAAGCATAGAGCGACTGTTTCCAGAATCCGGATGACCCAGAGTGAAAATCGTGTCGAAAACTGCATGGATTGACTGCTGCTTCATAACAAAGAAGTGCAACCAGTTTATTGAGCCGTTTTGCTTTATTCCATCATATTCTCAAGCAAAAAATAGTGAGTCTTTGGCTCCATTGCAAATGATGGAAAATAATCCCCTTGTCATGATATTTATTGTGATACTAATATTGCACATATAAAGAGTAATAAATGATAAGATTACGGTTGTGAATTGATGGAGGATCCATATAAACGTTTTGGGAAGAAAGAAGAAGAAAGGTTTGCTCCTAGATAAAAAATGGAGAGTTTATTGATTGTGGAGAAGGGTTCATAAAACTAGTAAGGTTTTTACGTGATACGTGATTCTGTGGTAGTGATGTGGCAGTGTGGCACATATAGAACAAGTGAAAACCTGATTTTTTGGTTTTTTAATTGGAGATGCCCTTAGAGTGCTAGCCCCAGCATAACCATTGAAATAACATGCTTTGTTGGGTTTTTAAACATAAACTAGACTAAGTTTTATCCTTCTTCCCTTTTCGCCTGGATCTCTCACTACTGCATAAGTTCATTAATACTTTTTTATGCATTTAAACACTGCTCAGAAGTCAAAACCATCATTGCAACATAGATAGTATTTACCTGTACTGGAAATATAGTGTGACCTCCCAAACACCTTGTACAGCTCAAACACCCTATGCCTCCAAAGTCCATGTATTCAAACAGATATTTTGACATGATGCACCCACAGTGAATACGCTGCCATGTGTGATATCCAGTTAGAGGAAGCAAAAGGAGAATGAAATTGTGCAGTACTTATCCATTGTTAGTCATACTTGCCTTTCTACACATTCTGCATTCCCTCCAGCCAGATTCATCCGAGTGGAATGTCTCGCAAAAAGCTACCTTTTCATATGCAGATCTAACTCCCATCCATAATACAACGAGAATTCATGATTTTGGCACAGAAGTTACAGAACAATAAGATCACAATTACCCAGCAATATTAGTAGTATGTTTTGTACAAGATAGAGATAGAGAGTGAGGCTCTGTCCACAGAACTTGCAGAGGCCCTATGCATTTTTAGCATAGTAACCCCTCATCGTAGTTGTCGGGATTCGAACCCGGGACATAACCCTTGTGTCACTCCCTTGCTACCAGTTGAGCTACGCCCACCGGTTGTTCAATGTTTTCATTTATAGATTTATCGATAGGGTTTAGGGTTTAGGATTTAGGGTTTAGGGTTTAGGGTTTGAATGTGGGTGCCAACATTCAGGGGCTAGCTACTTGATTTTGGAGGCCCTCTTCAACATGGCAAGATGCGGCACCCACATTATATGTAATATAAAAAACCTTGGAAAGAACTATAAGTTGAAAATTTTAACGAAGGTTGGTTAAATGCAGCACAATAATGCATGAGGAAACGAAAAAAACCTATTTTTAAATTATAAACAGACTTTTGGGCCAATATACTCAAACAATGTTAAGCCTTCTTTTCCCTAATGAATACCGATTCCTTATTTCCTTGCCTTTGGAATTTGGCCTTTGAGGTATGATGGAAATCAAATCAGTAAAAGAGGGTTGGTGACTTGGTGGTATAAATTTATAATACAATAATTCCAATGTTTGGTACACTAGAGGATTTATTCTGAAAGAATTTCAATTCCTTCCCTTGTTAATAAATGTTCCGTGCCTAGCCCTTCTTAGACATTCATTCCTTCATCCGGAAAAGTTAGACACACAAAGCCATTTACTTTACAAAGGGCTTAACTACTAATGGTCATATACAAAGGGAATTTTTTACTTTTATATCTCTATTACTTTCTTCCCTGATAAATTCTAATAAAACTTATTCCAATCAACCCATCATAACATTGTAAGTTGTAACATCATAAATACTCTTCCCCCACTTTATTCCTTTACGCTAATCAAACAAGCTGTAGAGGTACCAACTACCAACCATTTGATTCATTTCTTCAAAAAGTAGGAAGACGATTTGGAGATGGATTTAAAGGGAAAATGGGAATATCAAATATGGGGACAAAGGGAGTATTGTTTTTAACAAAAGAAAACCTCAAAAGTTAAATATAAGTCATATGCAATGATAACCACACCATTTTTCTAAAAAGTATAAGGCAGGAACATGAATGGGATATTCAGAGATAAATAGTGAAGAAAACATAGAGGTAAATTAGGCATACAGTGTTAGAACCACACTTTGCAATGGAATACATATGATGTGAAATTTTAATGATTTATCAGTCAGCAATTCCCGAGACAGATCATCCCAAGAAATCCTTAATCGAAATCGATAGCTTCTCCCCCACATTTTACTTTTTAAGTTGGCAATATAGCAATATTTCATACAACACCTAAACTTTGTGAAAATCGTCTTACCAATAAAATATCAGAGTATAAGTACAAAAAACAGTTGAGAAAAGAGTAGCAGTTATACCTAAATCAATTTTTTTGTTGAAACACTCTATTTAATTCCTGAATGATAATCATCTTATTGAGACGAATTTAAGTAAATGAAAAGTGAAAGCACAGTACACAAATGTTAGGAGTAAGAGATATTAGAAATGAAGCAAGGTAGAAGCAGAAATGAAATCATCTTGATTAGAATCAGATATTACAGAGTATTTATACAAGCTGCAGGCATAGCTAGCATAACCGAAGCCTAACAGAAAGCAGTTACATTGCTTTTGCAAAGAATACACGTGTAGTTTTCCTACACTATTCCTAACATTCCCCCCTCAAACTGAGGGTGATTGAGTTGGAAAATCAATCACACTGGGTTTGCTTCTGAACTCAAGAAAGGTGGAAGCAGATAGAGGCTTGGTCAACACATCTGCAATTTGCTGGGAGGCTGGAATATGAAAAACTTCAAGCTGTTTGAGTTGGACTTTCTCCCGTACAAAGAAAAGATCAATTTCCATGTGTTTTATGCGAGTGTGCAGAACAGGATTGTGAGCTAGTTGCACTGTACTGAGGTTGTCACAGTAGATTCTCAGAAGAATGAAAGGAGCTTGAAGTTCTTTGTGTAGAAATTGAACCCATAAAATTTCTGATGTAGTATCTGCTAGGCTTCTATATTCAGCTTCTGCTGAAGATCTGGCTACCCTTAGTTGTTTTCTAGACCACCAAGAAATAATATTAGGGCCTAGAAAAATGCATGACCCAGATGTAGACTTCCTGTCTGTGGGATCTGATGCCCAATCAGCATCACAGAAAGCTGTGATAGGTAGAGGTGTTTTTGTCAAAGGAAGAGGTTTGATCAGTAGTCCATGAGTGATGGTTCCAGAAAGATATCTCAGAATATGTTTCACAGTTTTCCAATGTTCTTGTAAGGGATTAGCATACTGTAAGATTCCAACAACAGATCTGTAATGAGAGGGATCAGGAAGATGATCATTCCCTTCACTGGTGAGCTTACAGGTACTCACCATGGGTGTTTTCACACCCTTGGAATCAGTCATTCCAACTTTGTGAAGAAGGTCTCTGATGTACTTGGTTTGGGAAAGATGCAAGCAACCATTAGGTAGTTTTCTGACTTGAATGCCCAGAAAGAAATCTATGTCCCCCAGATGTTTGAGAGAGAAAGAAGAATGTAAGGCTTGAATGATTTGTTGTATAACAGTGGAGTTATTGCCAATGACCAGAATATCATCAACATAGATTAGGATGTAGAATTGGATTCCAGTCTTGAGGTAGATAAGAAGAGAAGGTGATAGGAACCCACTTATTAGACTAGTAATAGTAGTAATAATAATAATAATAGTAATGAAGGTCTGGGAGTACTCTAGGTCTCTAGTATAAATAGATGAGAAGGGGGAGATAGTATGGAGGCTGTTATGACGGAAGTTGTCAGGACTGGGAAGTTAGAGATTTATTGTCTCTTTCTTTTGGGGGCTTCGGCCTTGGTTGCTTTATCCTCTCGATAAATTTGTTGGTTATTTCCTCATAATTCTCTTCTACTTTTTCTGTGATCAGGTTGTGTTCTATCAGTGGTATCAGAGCACGTTGATCGTTGGGTGATCTCTACGTGCGCTAGGCTGGAAAAACGATTGAACGAACTGGAGAGAAATCAACGGGAATTAGTTGCAGCTAAGGTAGTTATGGCGGCGAGTATAGCAGAGATACGAGCTACGCTAGCGACCTTGGTAGAGTGAGGTAAACGTCGATCGGGAAGCAGATCGCATACGTCGGACTTTGCGCATCATTCTTCGCATCGCAAATCGTTCCCCAGTTCGCATACTGAGTCGCGAACTAACAGGCGACGAACTCCAGCTGCTAGCGAGAAGTCTTTGCACTCTCGAGGTAATCCACATAATCCGCCGGTCTCTTCTCAGTCGCTAGCAGCGTCTTACAGTTTCAGTTCACAATCACTACTAGTTCCTCACCTTGCGTCAGTGTCATCCGCTTCCAGAACCTTCGACCAAGTCGCATCAGGAAAGGGACCCCAGGGGACTTTACCAACAACAAGGGACACCAAATTAAAGCGGGTTGCACCATCAGCTCGGGAATCAGACCCTGAAGAGGATGTTAGTCAACCTACAGACATGGGACAGGCAGTTTATTTGTGTAGGGGAGTTATGAAACCTCCCGAGTTTGCTGTTAAGGATGAACCTCTTGGTTATTTTGATGTTGGAATGATGATAGAATTGAACAAGATCAATCACTATGAAAAGATCATGGCGGCAGCAAATAACGATTCAGAAAACATGGATTAGAGAGAGATAACCGAATTCATATCAGTCAAAATCAATGCTGAAACTGACTTTGTAATATTAATTGGAAATGCCTTGGGGTGGCAAGCCTATGTGCAGGGTGTACAAGCGGGACCAGTTGAGAAGGATGCTAGTGGAAGGCTATGGTCGAAGAGGGAAATTGATTGGACCACTAAGTGCTGGACTTCAGGGATGACCGGTTGCAAGAGGCTTACAGATATTCTTGAAAATAGTTGGGCGTACGCTACCCGAGTGCCTGCTCTTACTCCACCTCAGGATATGCTTTCTGGTGAGCCTAGCGTTGTAGGGAGTGCTACTGCCCTGCTGAAGGATGTTGTTACTAGGAATCCCCAGACAAGGATAAAACACTACAGGACTGAGCTTTCAATTGCTCAGTCATTCAGGCCTATCAAGTTTGGGTTTGGGGAAATATTGCTGGTGAAGCCACAACCTGGATTTTGTCAAACTGCTATAGATGCAAGCCACCAACACCATTTGACCTGGTCAAAGCTACATTGTCCTTTCTTCAACAAGTAATCCATTTGAATGGTGAAGAAGTTAGGAAATATGACTGTTGGTCACTTTTATATCTATCGTATGGATGTGAAGAACTAAACAAGCCGGAAAATATCCAAACTCATGGCAATAATGGGATGCTTGAAGAAGCTGTGAGAATATTAGAGAAATATGGGGCTGAGCAAGTGACGATGAAGGTTCAAGTAATGAAGCTCCTATTCCAGAAATCAGTGAGTGTGAAATTTCACTCAAGAAATGGGATGAAGTCAGAGGCACATGTTATACTCAGGCTGGACAAAAGTTCTTCATCTAGAGGACTAGAAGTATGGGAACATCTGACACCGCAACCAGCGAAGTACTGGGAGGGGAGAGGCACCAGGAGGAAGTTGAATTCCAAGCTAGGTTCCTATCTCCCCACCTTGAGGACAAGGTGGTTGTTTAGGGAGGGAGTATTGATAGGAACCCACTTATTAGACTAGTAATAGTAGTAGTAATAATAATAATAGTAGTAATGAAGGTCTGGGAGTACTCTAGGTCTCTAGTATAAATAGATGAGAAGGGGGAGATAGTATGGAGGCTGTTATGACGGAAGTTGTCAGGACTGGGAAGTTAGAGATTTATTGTCTCTTTCTTTTGGGGGCTTCGGCCTTGGTTGCTTGATCCTCTCAATAAATTTGTTGGTTATTTCCTCATAATTCTCTTCTATTTTTTCCGTGATCTGGTTGTGTTCTATCAGAAGGATCACATTTGCTTTGTTTGAACCCAACATTATACAGAACTGAAGTGAGTTTGTGAAACCAAGCTCTTGGAGCTTGTTTTAGGCCATATAAGGATTTATGGAGTCTGCAAACAAGGGAGGTGTCCTTAGCTTGAAAATCAAGGGGTTGAGACATGTAAACCTTTTCCTCAAGGTCCCCATTTAGGAAGGCATTGTTGATATCAAGTTGTTGGATAGACCATTGATGAGAGACAGCAGTGTGAGAAGAATTTTGATAGTGACAGGTTTGACTACTGGAGAAAAAGTTTCTCCAAAGTCAAAACCAAACCTTTGATGAAATCCTTTGGCAACTAACCTTGCTTTGAACTTATTCACAGAACCATCAGGATTTTCTTTGACTCTGAATACCCATTTGCAACCAATAACCTGCTTGCCTGGAGGAAGAGATACTAAAGACCAAGTATTGTTAGCTATCAGGGCATTATATTCACATTTCATTGCTGCAAACCAAGGTGGAGAAGAGAGAGCTTGCTTCACTGATTTGGGCTCTATATGGGCTAACAGTAAGGTGGGATTAAGTCTGGGTTTTACAATCCCAGATTTGGATCTGGTTTGCATGGGATGATTGTTATGAGGAGGGCTTGGAGGTGGAGGAGGGTTAGAATCAGATGATGAGGAGTGAGAGTTGAGAGTGTTGTCATTAAAGGAATTAGAAGGAGTTGACTCAGGTTGGGAGGATGGTTAATGAGCAATTTGATGATCAGTGTTAAACTGAGGTGTAGTGGATGAAGATGTAGGAATGGATGAAGGATTGGAAGAAGAATTTGAACGGTTAGAATTGGATGTGGGACTGGTACTGGCACCATTGTCGGAGTGGAATGGAGATGAATAGGAAGGAGAGTGAATTGCTATTGGGACTGATAAGGAAACTGGGGCACTAGGAGTTGAACTGGATGTGGATGGAAAAAGAGTAGTGTAAGGAAATTTGGTTTCATCAAAAATAACATCCCTGGAAAGATAAATTCTGCCACATGGAGAGAGACATTTGTAGCCTTTGTGATGAGAAGAGTATCCCAGAAAAACACATTCCTTGGAATGGTAGTCCATTTTATGTTTATTGTAAGGTCTAATGAAAGGATAGCAAGAGCAACCAAAGACTTTGAGAAAGGTATATTCATGAATAGTACCATAAAGTTTGAAATGTGGACTGAGATTTGCAATAGATTTAGAGGGAAGTTTGTTGATGAGATGTACAGCAGTGGCAAAAGCAGTGTCCCAGAATTTGAAAGGTAAAGAAGAATGTGCTAGGAGACATAGACCTTTCTCAACAATGGTGCGATGTTTCCTCTCAACAACACCATTTTGATGGTGTGTATGAGGACAAATAACTCTATGATTAATACCTTTTTCAGTAAGAAACTTTGTGAATGATCTGAATTCTCCTCCCCAATCAGATTGGATTGACTTAATGGAGATGTTAAACTGATTTAGGATGTATTGATGGAAGTTTTGAAAAGCTAAGAAGGCATCTGATTTCTTTTTGAGAAAGTAGATCCAGGTATATTTGGTGAATGCATCAATAAAGGATATATAGTAAGTGTAGCCATCAAAGGACTGAATAGGAGCTGGGCCCCATAAGTCGGTATAAATCAGTTCAAAAGGAGAATGAAAAACAGTTGTAGATGGGTAAGAGGGTAGTCTGTGAGCTTTACCCAAACAACATGCAGAACAAAAGTCAATAGCATTTTTATTGATATATGGAAGATTACAAAGATTCAGTACAGACTTGAGGGCCTCAAAATGAGGATGACCTAGTCTTAAATGCCAAATATTACAACTGGAGTCTGATTGAGAGTTATTACAAGTAGATACAAGAGAACTAGGAAACACAGATTTATGGGAATGGAACTTGGACAAATTTGAAGTAGAGTTGTGAGACCCAAGAGCTGGAAAGGATTGAAACTTGTAAAGACCATCTTCACCAAGTATTCCATACAGCAGAACTTGTTTAGAAACCTGGGATTTAACAAAACATTCATGAGGATGAAATTCAAAAAATGCATTGTTATCCTTGGCAAATTGGCTGACACTTAATAGATTTTTGGTTATAGCAGGAACATGTAAGATGTTAATGAGAGATAAAGAAAGAGATGATTGATAGGGTGAGGGAAAGGATGAAAAACCAATAGACTTAATTTCCAAACCTTGACCATTGCCCATAAACAGCTTATCAGTGGTAGCAATTGGATCACCAGTTCTGAGAATTTGGGGGTGATCCTAGTATAGAAGAATTTGCAGAAGCCCAGGCTGCAGTTGGTACAGTAGGGAATGAATTGAGTTGTGAGGGATGATTACTTTGTTGTGGATAGGGATAAGGTGGTTGGTTGGGTGAATATCTTGTTGTATTTGGAGGAGATAGTTGGTATTGATTTGAATAGGGATGTGAAGGTGGAGGTTGGTATTGATTTGATTGGTATGGGGGCTGGTGAAGTTGATTTGAGTAAGGATATGAAGGTGGAGGTTGTTGCATAGGATATGAAAACTGTTGTTGCATAGGAGAAGAATTAGTAACCGTATAAGCTGGATTGTATTTGTGGTAACAAACGAGTGCACTTGACCATTTTTACCACAAACTTGACAAGTAACTGAGCTTCTACCACCTGAACGACCACCTCTGCCCCTATTGAAACCTCCACGACCTCTACCTCTGTAGGAGGAATTGACATTAGAGGTATCAAACTGAGCGGAAGTATCAAACTGAGCTCAAGTTGCTCAGTTTGATACTTCTGCTCAGTTTGAGCTGAAGCATTTTCTGAAGTGTACTGAGTTTCAGTTTCAGTATTTTGAGAGGAAGATTCAAGTCGAGCAACATTAGCAGCAAATATTGTTTGTTGCGAGGACTCACGAAGTTTCTTCGGTCGCAATTCCTTCGCTAACAAGAGACCTTCAAGTTCAGATATAGTAATAGGATCTAAGATACTTCGTGAGGTGACAGATGATATAAGTGACTCATAATCCTCAGGAAGACCTTCAAGGATCACATTGATGTGATCCTTGGTTGATATAGGATCACCGACAGACGTTAGGTTATCCACAATAGTCTGAATACGAAGCAAATATTCAGAAATAGAACGATCACCTTTCCCGAAGTTATACAGTTCCGATTTCAGATGAAGAGCTCGCGCGATGATACTGGAGCGGAAGAAATTCTGAATTTCACTCCATAACTCTCATGTGAATGCTTGCAGCAGATGACGCGAGCATGAAGTGATTCTGAAAGCGAAGCTAAGAGCTAGGAAAACAACATTTGGTCTTGTTGCTCCCAGATGTTGTATGCTTCGTTAGCTGTTTTTGCTCCATTCTCATCGACTGAAAAACGATCCGGTATCTGAGGATTTTCTATGAATTTGAGAAGTTTATGAGCTCGAATAACTGATTCAACATGATGGCGCCAGAACAGAAAATTGTTTGAATTGAGTTTAATAGGTAGAGGATGATGAAAAATGATAGGCGAAGATTGATTAGCAATGTGAGAAGATGATTGTGAAGAAGAAGAGGAATCAGTCGCAGAGTTCGTCATGGTTAGATCGAGCAATGCTCTGATACCATATTAGAAATGAAGCAAGGTAGAAGCAGAAATGAAATATCTTGATTAGAATCAGATATTACAGAGTATTTATACAAGCTGCGGGCATAGCTAGCATAATCGAAGCCTAGAAAGTAGTTACATTGCTTTTACAAAGAATACACGTGTAGTTTTCCTACACTATTCCTAACAAGAGAAGGTCAGAGTGACCTTAGTCAGACTTATTTACACTTTCTATAGACTATATAGAGTTCAGGAAATAAAAGCTCTGCCTTTTAACTTTTGCCCACATATCCTAACTTTTGCACTGAAGGGGCCTGCTTTTGTTTTGTGTTTTGAGGCAGAAGCAAAAAAAAGAAGAAAATTTGTTGGTGGTGGAGGCTGTGGGGTGGGGGAGAAATGTAAACTTCTAAAAATGTGCAACAGTAGAAAACCTCAAGAGTAGGAAAAAATCAAAATAAAATTCATAATTCAAACAGGCAATATGGACACCCCCGCAATGAGCTAATTCAGGGGTTTAAATTCCCCAGTCCTGAACTACACTTGACTAGAATACAGGGTCGCACAGCTTACCCGCATTTGTAACAGAGCGCAGCAAATCCACCTGATTTCAAGCCCCAACCTTCCTTCCATTGAAACGACGTCGTTGAGCGACAGTACTCGTTCATGCAAAGCTTTGACACCATTCTCCCAAAAATCAACCCTTTGAAGCAGAAAGACACTGTATTATCTGTCCACGAAAAAAATTCCAAGATCAATTTCAGAACCCTAAACGCCGATATAAAAATTTCAAACCCAACGACATTATTTGACCATTTTATTAATGCAAATAACATTTAGTGTTAAGGAAAAGATTACAGAGCTCACCTCGTTCAATCTGTTAAATGTAACGTAACACGGCAAGCTTCACCGAATACCGATCTCATTTTGGTGTCCCATGGCATATTGACCAGAATCTGAAGGGTCAACGGAAGTAAACGGCAGAATGGCGGCGGCCGGAAGGTTCTGGTAAAGTGGATGATTCCTGAAGAAGACTAAACGGGTTGAGCAGAAGAGGTAGTATATCTAGAGACAGAAAAAGATGTGCATGCACATAGGCAAAGCAGAGAAGATTAAAGAAGAGAATAGAGTTACAGAGAGAACACAAGCATGCACGAGTGCACGACACTTGAACCCATAGCACTACAGCTTCCCATGGTACTGCTTTTTCTATTTATTTTAAAATATTTAAAATACGAGTAAATTACATAAATGATTCTATTTGATCCTTTAACTAAGAAATTTATCATTTTAGTCTTGGCATAACTATCAAATAAATCCTCGAACTTACATAAAAAGTGCAAACAAGCCCTTTTATAGGAGGCTCTATCCGGCCGTCTCCATATGAGGCGATCCCCTGTGGAATTTTTTGATGAATTTTTTTTAGCATTTTATTCATCAAGTCTAGTTTACTCATACAAAATTTCAGCTAAATATTCAATTGGGAAGGCACTCAAATGAATTTTTGAAGATAACTGCGCAGTTAAACAACGCAGTATATATCAGAAAATCATTTGACCTCCTTCTCGGTTGAATTTTTATCTGAAATTTAGTATGGGTAAACTAGACTTAATGTAGAAGATGCTCTAAAAATTTCATCAAAAAAATTCACAGGTGGTTGAGGTGCGGTGGTGGCCGGAGCGGTGGCAGCCACTGTTGCAATGATCGGCGTAAGACGGTGGTCATTGGCTGGAGTTACTTTTGCTGGAGTCAATGTGGCGGAGTCACTATGACCGGTGGGTCACTGTGACCGGCGAGTCACTCTGGCCGAAGTCACTGTGGTGGCGTGTCACTGTGGCGGTGAAGTCACTTTGACTGGAGTCACTGAGATAGTGACTGGCGGCGGCGGTGTCGGTGATGGCGGCGGTGGCGGTGCCGGTGATTATATAAATAAATGACTTCTAGTCACTTTTTTGGAAAGATTTAAAACAGGTCACATTTTTGTCTTTTTCATTAATTTTAGTAATATTGAAATAAAAATGCCTTTTATATATGGACGGAAGAAGGTGGCACGGTTATTAAGAAAAATGGGTTGTGTGGTTGATATTAATTGATAAAGTAAGAATAAAGTAAGAATGATTTAGAGTACACAAATTTTACCAAATACGGTATGGGACAATTTTAGTGGGACTTCTTGAAAAGGTAAAACGAGACAATATAGGAAGGCTGAGGGAGTAATTAATAATAAAATCATAAAAAATAATAAAAATCGTAAAAAGTAATACAAATCACTAAAAATTATAAAAAATCATAAAATATTTATAAAATAAAAATATTGTTTTTTTTCAAAAACAAAATTCAAAAATAAAAATAAAAAATAAAAAACGTAAAAAAAAACATTGCCGCCTCTGCCACCCCCACCATAACTAGTTCCCATCACTGGAGAAATCCGTCAACATTTTTAGTAATTCTATTTATGCAGTTTTGTCACTTTTTAGTCCTATTTAGGTCATTAACCCTAGTTTTTTGGTCAAAGAGGAATTATTTAGTTAGGATGGGTCTTATAACAATTTATAAATATTGTAAGTTTGACCACCGTTAATGTAAACGGCCAAATGAAACTGAAGGACTGAATTAAAATGCATCAAATAGAATAAGGACTAAAGAGATAGATTTATTAGTTGAAGGACCAAAACGATATGGTGATAATAGTTTAGGAACCATTTATGCAATTTACTCTTAAAATATACTCGTATTACTCCCTTCGGTTCCAAAAAAACTTGACAGTTTGACTTTACATTTTTTAAGAAAGTGGAATTATTTATTTTGACTTTCTAATTTTGCCCCCCAAAAGTAGATAAAGTGCAGTGGGAAAGAGAAAATGAGTGTAAAGTAGGTAATAAAGTAAGAGTATAAGCGTAACTTAATATCAAAAAGTTGTCAAAAATAGAAGTGTGAAGTTTATTTGAACCCACCCAAAAAGAAAAGTGTGAAGTTTATTTGAACCCACCCATTAGGAAATTATGCGATTATTAAAAAAAGTGAATCCATACAATTAAAATTGTGTTGATAAAGTAAAAATAAAGTAAAAAAATAGAATCACATAAATTTTACTAAATTTGGTATCAAATAATTTTAGTTGACAGATCAAAAAAAAAAGATGAGATAATCTTAATGTGATGAAAAGAGTACTAAAACATATGATCTTCCCTTTTAACTTTGTCAAGTTTAACAGTAAATAATAGAGTAGTGATAAAAAGGGACTAACATTTGTGAAGAGGGATGATAATAACAAATTAACTGATAAAAAGAAAATAATAAAAGCACGCTTTTGGGATAATAAAAAGGAAAAGATGCAAAATTATGTGACAGATGCAAAATTACAAGGCCGTGTAAATGCGGATTATACACGCCCTTGTAACACGGTATAATTAGGCATATTGATTTGCACTTTCAACCCCGCACAAATGCACCTTAGCTGAAGTGGGTGATAAATTTCATCATTTTTAATCCTTCCATTCCATCCTCTTCAATAGATTTAAGTGCGTAAGACATCTACGAAGGTAGTGATGACAAAATACATGTGGTCCCAGAGACGTTGTAGGTGATAATGACACGACGACGACCGATGGGGAATTTGGTTGCTCACAGCTTGTCATACCCGCCATGTGTGTGGAGCAATCTGAACAGGTACCACACATGACGGTTCCCTAAGCTCATCATGTAGAATTTCAGCATATTGAGGATCACATTATGTTGATGAGTCAGGGGAGGCTTCAGTGGTTGATTGTTGATTGTTGTAGAATGACCGTTGACGCGAGGTTGATTGAATTTATCTACGATTTTCGGACCTTTACATTGAAGCTTAGACCCTATTCTACCTTTGGTTCGACTTTGGAAGAATTTGATCAGATTTGCCTAAAATGACCTCTTGACATCGGTGATTTACAAAGTTTGTCGGAAAACTTACGTTTTGACCCTCAAAGACTGCGAGTGAGGGCGCGTGAAAGTGGGTTCTGGGGCATAGCCGCAGAATTTATGTAGATCTTTTCGTTAGCTTTCCAACAAAAAAAAAAGTTTGCTCAAATCGGATCACCGAGTCAAAAGTTATGGCCAAAACAGTGAAGACATGCAAAAACTTTGAATTTTGAGATTTTGAGGAAATTTTTCGAAGTTGAGGTTCTCGATCTGGAATATCAAGATCAGGTGCATTTTAAAGAAAATTCTTAGGTAAATCCTCGAAATCCTAATCTCGAGGTTTAAATTCGAGATTACAATATCGAGGTTTAAATCCCGAGATTACAATCTCGGGGTTTAAACTTCGAGATTACAATCTCGAGGTTTAAACTTCGAGATTACAATCTCGAGGTTTAAAGTTCGAGATTACAATCTCGAGGTTTAAAGTTCGAGATTACAATCTCGAGGTTTAAAGTTCGAGATTACAATCTCGAGGTTTTAACTTCGAGATTTCAATCTCGAGGTTTTAACTTCGAGATTACAATCTCGAGGTTTAAACCTCGAGATTACAATCTCGTGGTTTAAAGTTCGAGATTACAATCTCGTGGTTTAAAGTTCGAGATTACAATCTCGTGGTTTAAACTTCGAGATTCCAATCTCGAGGTTTAAATCTCGAGATTACCATCTCGAGATTACAATCTCGAGATTACCATCTCGAGATTACAATCTCGAGATTACAATCTCGAGTTTATCCCTTAGATTAAAATTAAAAAGTAAAGTAATGTTCAGCAAATTTAGACGACCTAAGCGGCCGATTAGGTGCTCTAGGCGGACAACTAGGCACCATAGATGGCCGACTAAATCATCTAGACCACAAACCAATTAGTCGGAGTGCCTAGACAAAACTCGGGGTGCCTGGCAACCGCCTAGCGCCTAGGCGGGGACTAGTCAGGCACCTAGAACGATTTTTAGAACAGAGAGCCCAACAGGGATTGACCCATAAACCCTCAAAGCCTACCCTGTGAATTTCCCCCATAGCCAAGCCAGCTGGGGTGCCTTCCCCCGGATCGTGGCGAAGTTCGTCCTCAACAGGACCCGCCCACATCATCAAGGCCCAGGGGACGTACGTATCCAAGGGTAGATGGGTACCTTGGCCCAGAAGCAACGTGAGACGCTCGTCTCGTAGGAAACAGGAAGCAAGCTCATGGGGATGCTCGTCCCCATCCTTTGGCAGGAAGCCAAGATCCTAAAGGGAAGCGCATTTAATGCAGAAGATTTGGTGGTTGGGATCGAGCCATCCACAACCTGCCACGTCACCACATCTAACTACCCATTGACGGTATTAATAGCAGCATTTATTTCATTGCAAAGGGTTGACAACTTAGCACTCTAGTCTTATAGCAATCATAGCAGCTCGTAGCTTAGTTCTGTACGAACGACCTCTGTTGTAATTGTTCACTTGTTTGGAGTTAATAAAATACAGCCAGCTTACTACTATTACCTGGCCCATCCAACTTGTTTTAATCATCTACTCAGTACATCTTCCATTCGAAATCCTTGGGTTACATGTTGGGCCTACTGATTGAAGGAATAAACCTCAACATCTTGTAATAGTTAGCTTATTTAATAGCTTATTAACTCAACATCATGGGTTACGTGTTGGGTCCAATAATGTTAGGCTCATATCCCTAGGTTTACCGATACCTTACCTGCATAAGACTTAGGTATTAAAAAAACGCTCGTTTAAACTATTCATCATTCTGTAAGTTCTCGATATTCAATAGAAAAGAGTTTTCACCGATAATTCATATTCATGTTATTGTTTGAATCTATGCTTCTGTTATATCATGATAAAACCATTATGCTGATCATTATTCTCATATATTGGGACCAACACGCCCAAATTTATAAAATGTCTTTAACTTTAAACTAAAAAGTTTCACATAATTGTTTTTTCAAAAACAAAAATTGTACCGGCTCAGTCCGAACCAGTGCCCAACCTTCTCTCATTTTACCTAGGAGCCTTTTTCAGGTTTTCGTCCTAACATCTCTTTTTTTTTTATCATTTCCAACTCACTCTTTTTTATATAAGCCTGATAAACCCAGAATACTAAACAATCAAACAACCATAGCAGTTATGAAGAAGCAGATAGAAGATTATGAGATGAAAAACCAAATCTGGTATACCGTGTGAAACCCCGCTGCTCTCCCTAGAGAAGGAGAGCAGCGGAAACCCTACTCTGT